TTACCCTCTTAAGCACTTTATTGATACAAAATGGTCTTTTTGATATGATAGACCATTTTTCAAATTTGAAATCCTTCTTTATGGGTGGCATAATCGCTTTCTAGACTAGATTTCCTTTAGTCAAACTTCTACGTTTAACTCGCTCGTTGTATGCTTAGGCCACCTTTAGTTTTTGCGTTTACAGCTTATTTAAAGTCGTCAATCGCATGTCTTCAACGTCTTCAAGTTCTAACATTATTGCATCATTATATTTTTCAAAAGTAAGATCATGTTGAATCGTTATACGTAATACGTAATAATTTGACAGATAACTCTATACGCAGAACAACATTATATCCATAAGTTAAAGAGAATGGAGTTACCTTGGTAGGACTCCTTTGTGAAGTTTTATTTAGAGCGTGAGATATTAGCTTATGCCAACGCTTTGGATTATCATCAACCATCTTCTCAAGCAGATTTATCACAATTCTATTAGAAGCCTCTACTTGACGATTGGCTTAAGTGTAATGAGGGGTTGAAATGAGTAAACAAAAGCTCATTCCCCTTGCAAATACCTCCACTTGTTGAACCAACAAAAACTGTCTCCTAATCTAAGGTTACTATTTTTGACAAACCAAATCTATAAATAATATCTTCATTGAGAAATTTAATAATATTGGTTTGGTCTATCTTCTTCATTGGCTTTGCTTCCACCTATTTGGTGAAATAATCTATAGCAACTATAATGAAAAAATGCCTTTTAGTTAAAGGAGGATAAATTTTACCAATTAGATCTATGACCCATCTTAGAAATGGCCATGGTTTGACAATCGGATGGAGTTTTAATGCTAGAACTTGCTGCAGTGGTCCATGAATATGATAGGCTTTGCAACTTTTAGTAAAACTGATGCAATCTTTCAAGATTGATGTTGGAACTTTCTGCAGTGGTCCATGAATAATTTGATAGGTTTTGCAACTTTTAGCAGAACTGATGCAATCTTTCAAGATTGATGGCCAGAAAAACCCATGTTTGTGAATTAACCAGCGCATCTTAATTCCAACTTGGTATGCACCACAAATTCTATTATGTACATCTGACATAATCTAATAGTACTCATATGGACCTAGACAACGTAAAAGTAGTTCATCATGCCCTTTACAGTAAAGAACACTTTCCAATAGAACACTTTCCAGTAAAACATAATTCAAGGCTTGTATTTTCATTCTTCTTGAGACCTTAGAACTTGGATTCTTAAGGTATTTCATGATCAAATAGCACCAATTTGTCTAGATCATGTTTATGAAACAAACGGAAATCATTATACCACGATTGTGAATGGATGGCATAATTCGTTTTTCCACAACAATAATTTTCCTCAACATGCCTTTTGGGATTTTTAAGATTGAGGCGATTTGTGTCATCTCATTTGCTTTTGTATTCAAATCTTGAGTGACATGCCTGAAGATTACATAATCAAATTCTTCCAGAACTTGTACTGCTAGAGCAAAGCAAGGCACCAAAGACAAACTAGTGCATTTGTGTTCACTTTCTAATTGTTTTAAAATTGGTTGTGAATTACCAATTATTTCTATCATAGATACGTTGAGTTTTACCCACGCTTTGAGACTAATAATCAATACCTCAAACTTAGCTTGATTGTTAGTGCAGTTGAAATCTAACTTGAACAACATTTGGGTTTTTAGACTTGTTGGAGAAATGATAACAATTCTTGTTCCAGACCTGAAATCTGTGCTAGACCTATCAAAGATAAGCTTCCAAGGAACCAAATCTATGAAAAATAAATTAACTCCTTTTTCCTAATTTGCTTTTACTTCGAGGCACAAATGATCTACTAAGAAAGACTGACAGATCAGCCCATGTGTCTTGCTAAAGAGATGATCTGGCCCAGCGGGGATTAGCAAAACCGAACTCACAAAGGTCAATCATTTTCTAATGGGCTCGAGATTTTTAAGCCCAAATGTTATTTCCACGTCAACGATAGTCAATCTATCTATCGTCTCGATAGCAGCCCTTTAGCGGGCCCAATTCACAAATCAACTGGCTAACAAAATAGCTCCGTGTTCTCTCGTCCTCCATTTCTCATAGGCTAGATCTGCAGTCCTTTTCTCTTCATTTGGTTGTTTCCTCCTCATATTTTCCCCTCTGATCAGGTTTCCGACGCCGGAACCCTGATCCAGCAGCCATGGCTGCCGCTAATGCTCCCATCACCATGAAGGAAACTTTGACGGTAACAACCATCACTGTCTCCACTAAGCAACTCCTTCAATTTCATTCTTCGATCTGTAATCCTTTGCTTCTGCTGTAATTCTTAGATCTTATGCTTTCGTTCTTTTTTCTTTTTTTCCTTCTATTGTTCTTTTGTTGCAGTTGCCGAGCATCGGGATTAATCCGCAGTTCATAAATTTCACGCACGTTACTATGGAGTCAGACAAATACATTTGCATCAGGGAAACGGCGCC